GTCAGCTGCAGTGTGGGATGTTGGAGGACATTCACTAACACCTCAGGCACATTTTTTTAAAGATTAGAAACTATCATGGCAGACAGAGTTATCAGTAGCTATTATCTCTCATGGCTACACGAGCTTCCATGTTCACCTGCAACAGCCTATATATTCTAACAACAAACTTGTTTTTCATATAGAAATTCTTATATATAGCTAAAAGAGCACTATGCTTACATAAGAAGAAAATTACTGGGGAAACTCCAAGTACACTCTACTTTTAGTTCAATCATAATTGGGGGGGGGAATCAAAATCTTGATGTTCTGGCTTCTTGCTTCTTCAGTTTATTTGAATAAATGTTTGCTGTTCCCAAGGTGGCAGTTAATCAGGAAAACTGTCTTCAGGCAAGGTGAGAGGAACTAATCCACCAGCCCAAATTAGCCTCTGCCCCTCAGTTGATGGTTTGTACTGTTCTATATGTTTGTTCTCTGAAGTGGTATCTCACAAAAAGAGAATATTATAAAGACAAATATTTCTATTGGTACCAGTCAAAAGACACCATGCTTAGTCCACCTTATCTTCTCTAAAGTACAGTGGACCCTCAACTTACAGACAGCTCGACTTACAGACTTTTCGAGTTACAGACTTCTCTGGCTGCAAAATTTAGGTTCGACTTGCAGCCAGAGAATCGACTTACAGACCAGAAAAAAACCAAAATGGAACAAAAATGAAACTAAAACTGCCGGTTACGGGATTAATAGGTTTCCAATGCATTGTAGGTCAATGGAGACTCGACCTACAGACTTTTCAACCTGCAGCCACCGTTCCAATACGGATTAATTCCGTAAGTAGAGGGTCCACTGTATGTCCTTTGGGGAGGACTAGTTAATAAAATAAATAAAATAAATGAAGAAATACTCTGAATGCGTTGGGAGTTATAAAAATAGACAACTTCATTTTGACACCCTATAAAGTTGCATGACTGATGAGTTCATATGCAGCCCAATGCACAGTAATCTATTTGCTGAATATGGTACAAGAACTAAACTAATACATTAAGGTAGATGAGGTGGTATTTTAGTTCAGGCAGTGCTGGGTAATGAAGCCAAGATAGTAGATGAGGAATAAAATGTTGTTTATTGTAATCCTGTTTTTCTGAGCATATTGTCTGATTCAGCATAGTAATCACTTCCATTTCATCTATATTAATTGCCTTTTTTAAAAGTTAGAATACACTGGTCGTGCTATAATCATCTTTTGACTTAAGTTACAGACTTCTCTGGCCGCAAAATTTAGGTTTGACTTGCAGCCTGAGAATTGACTTACAGACCAGAAAAAAACCAAAATGGAACAAAAACGGCCTGTTACGGGATTAATCGGTTTTCAATGCACTGTAGGTCAATGGAGACTTGACTTACAGACTTTTTGACTTGAGAACCGCCTTCCAATACGGATTAAGTTCTCACGTCAAGACCCCACTGTATAATCATCTTCTGGAGAGAGAGAAAGAGTAAAGAGAGGAAGGGATTGAAGGAAATAAAAGGGGGGAGGAGAAGTTTGGAAGTTCACGGCTTGTTTGGCCTTGTATTGTCTAGACAGTACATTGACTGGCCACATTTCCCCATGGATTCCAACACGGTTGCCTTCCCCTTACCCAGCACTGATACATAATGTTCTGTACCTTTGGAGAAGGGCAGATACTAAGCCAGGGAGAGCTCTGTTTGTATGCGAAAGCTCAGCTCTGGATAATATCAAGTAAGAATAATTTATAGGAGTTCTCACACCGTACAGCAGATTTTTCTCATCTGAAGGACCCAAACAGGTGAAAGACAGAAAATCCATGATTAGGGATCTCAATGTTTCCATTTTCACAAAGCCCCTCCTGATAATCCTTTACAGATTGCTTAATTAAATCAGATCACAAACATTGGGAAGGCAGATGTAACCTTTCCCCCTGCACCATGTTTATGATATAACCCTGTCCCTTAGCTTTGTATGAGCTTATGTCCGTCTGTCTGTGCATGTGACTACATCTCTCAGAATTCCCCAGCTAGCATCACCACTGCTGGTCATGCTGGCAGAGGTGCTCTGTTCATCCCGAAAGTAGCTTTTCTGCTCTGTGGATAAAACATATACTACTCCCCCCTCCATCTTTATTGCTCCAAAAGAACTTAGAGATCCCCACAATAGCTTTGGGTACAAATGCAACAGTCGTGAAATCTTCCTTTTAGATAGTTCACATCTCAGCACTTTTTGATGTGAGACAGATTTGGCAGCTTCTGTATGTTCAGCAATAGAGAAAGATTAATCTAATTAAACAGATATGTTAAAGATGAAACATAGTGGCTGAAATCCTGCTGCTTAGCATAGTAAATTGCAACCAGAATAAAATATGGTGAATCAACTCCCCTGTAAGTTCCACTAATTCAATGGGCCTACTCGCATTGTGACATCCTGTGCTGAGCAACAAGATTTCAGCCAATATATGGTAGATCAAAAGGAGGTCTCATGTTGAATGTGGACCTTAAGTTTACAAGAGCTAAAGACTGCAAGCGAGACAACCCAGACAAAATGAAAACAATGAGAGGATAGCTGTCACAGTTACTGCTCTGTCTTGAAATATTGTGAACTATCCTGTTCCAAATGTGAAAGTTAAAAATAATTTGATCTGCATCACGCCACCAACAGAAAAGTGTGCAGTTGAACTTATCTCTTGTATGACCTTGCTGAATTAGAATGCTGTTCAAAGCAGATGAGTCAGAAATCATTATAACGTTTGCTTTCTGTATTAGCTGATAATGTCAGGTCAACTTAAAATGCTGGTATGGTAACTTTATTTTTTCTTCCAGATCAGTTAACATTACCTAGTCCACAGGCTCACGTTTAATATTTTCTTTGTTAGTTTTGAGTACAGTTGGCACAAGGCTTCTAGGCAAGGCCCCTGGACCTGCCAATGCTGTCCACCCCCTGTTCTACATGATCCTCTCCGTTTTTTTCTTAACTTCAAAACCCATGGCCATGTTGGTTGGGGATTGATAGGATTTGTATTAAAATCCATCTGGAGGGCACCAGGTTGAGGAAGCCCATTTTAAACACCCAGAGGTTGGTCAAAATGACTAGATAGGTGGGGTATGTGAATGAATGAATGAATGAATGAATGAATGAATAAATGCATGCATGCATACATACATACATACATACATACATACATACATACATACATACATACATACATACATACATACATACATACATACATACATACATACATTGTTACGGGAAACAAACCATGGCTGACACACAACCAAATCAAATAACTAAGAAATGAAGTCAAAGGCTTAAATGCAGTTCACTTAATGTGTAATAGGTACCATCCAGATAGGGTTTCCTAGGGACACAGGATTTTAGAAATCTACTTTTCTGGCCTTAGAAGCCTTCTGAGAGCAGTGGTAGTATCGCTTCTCCAGTAGGGTGGTGATAGCAGCAAGGGCAAAAAAGTAGGTGCTATGGGGAGAAGATTTAAGGAGGAAGGAGTTGGATCCACTTATTTCAAAGCCCTCCAACCTTCCCAACACACCTCAGAAGAGTGGCAAATACATCTATAAAATGTTTTATAGATGGCACTATACACCTGTAAGACTAGCAAACATTTCAGAGGGTAACAGCAATATATGTTGGAAGCGTACAAAAATGCAGGAACTTATTACCATATGTGATGGACATGCGAAAAAGTCAAAAATTATTGGACACAGGTGAACAGTGAAAGAAATTATCCAGCAGAAATTAGATATAAAACCTGAAATGGCATTATTGAATGTCATGCCAGGAATTAATAATTAAAAAACGAAGCATTGTCTAATGTATATATTCACAGCAGCTAGACTACTCCGGGCCCAAAAATGGAAAAGCGAAGAGACGCCAACGATGGAAGAGTTGTTAAAGAAGCTATGGGATATAGCAGAACTGGACACACTATCAGAAGCACTACGGGAACAACCGACAGACTATGTAAAACAAAGCTGGGAACTAATATATTCTTGGGCCCAGAGGAAGACAGGAGTGTAGGGCAAATTTCACTACATATGTATGTTTGTTTAGTACACACTGGAAACCAAACCGGGGAGAGTGGAGGGTTAACAAG